GCGAAAGATTCCTCTGCCACACGACACGCACAACATGTAGGGGTGGGGGAGAGAAGCGGTAGCAGCTCCAAGTTGCCGCAGCACGATAATCTGGCACCAAAATACAATACTCCATTTAATTTCAAACTGCATCATTATATGCCACGGAGATAGGACATTTGCATATCATAGGGAAGCGAACGGCATCTGGTCCGAGCGAGGGGAATTAGCTGCCAACTTCAGTGCCTTGCTGTTAATCCCTTCCTTTTGCAGAATAGTTTTAATTATTGCTCATCTCAGTAATGCCGGGTGTGTTGTATCCAAATGAATAAAGACTTCACACCAAGAACTTGGCCAATTTTTACGGATATTTGCATGTAATCATTATACAAATTACAGGAATTGACATCATTTTTCGACACATGACGGCAACGCCGCACTTCATCATTGGCGCTGTCCTGATTCTGTTCTCATGCATTATAATTGCATTACCAGCGGAACTGGTTCAATGTCACAAAACAAAGAAAGCGAGTAGTAAAAATACTTTGAAGAATCAGGAAACGAATATATAATTTCATAAATCAGATGCGAAAATTTTGTTTGCACAGAACATGTGTAGATACTACGAATATTAAGACTGCCCGAGCTGTTAGTATAAGTTATCTCATGTTAATAATGTTAACGAGGAGCTTCCTACGCAGCTTCTTTCCCTTCCTTCCGACCTTTGATTTCGCATACGTCAGATGTTGTTATATATTTGGTTTTCTTCCGAAGTTTTTCCTTTGGAAGTTGCGAATTTGTGCTAACTCTCATTCATATATATTCTTTAATTTGCCTTCACACAGAATACCAAAACCTTCGTACTGACGGTGTTTGGCTGCGGTAGTGAGAAGAGATGATACTATTTAATGGACCGGAACATTCCTTTTAGGCTAATTTCAAATTTAAACACTCGCCTTTGCATTCTCATGTTTCGCACTACATTATTTTGAATTGAATAATCATAACTCGTATTAATATTATCATCAATACCATTATTGTTGTTTCCATGAATATCTTCATTATTATTGTAATTATCATCATTATTATTAGTACGACGATTATTATTCCCAGCATTCTATTTTATTACGGCTGGTACTGTACTGCTATTCTATATTTCTATTAATACTATTCTATCTACATTTCTTCCTTTACTATTATACGGTATAATACAAGATCTGTGTACCACAGGACATAATGCATGCATAATATACAGTATATAGGCAACTTCATAGTAGTATAAATTCAATGTTTTGTTTGATCGTCATTTTATCTTTTATTGTAATTCTCTTCATCTGTTTTACTCTGGAGATCCACGAATCCAAACATTGTTGCAAGGTATATCCTAGTTGCTTTATAATTTTAATAGAATTGTTAATCAACGATACTTCGAATTTTCACTTAAATTAAAATTTGCAAAGCAAATAAGCTACAGTGCAGAAACTTGCCGAGCAAATAAAATTTGAATCGATGTCGAAATGCTTCTCATGTTTTCGAGTAATCGATTAACAGTCCACTTGCTTTGCAATTTTTGAAGTTAGGTGTGTTTCTGTTGTTTCTACTTATGACACCTTGTTGATTTATGTTGTTATACATAGGTTAAAATACTTTTCTGAAGAATATACAGCTTCACAGTCACAAACTGCGATTTTTTGGATGACATCCACTGTCGTGAACGGAGCCCTTTCTAATTACTGGCGACGCGCGCTGGACGGGCCCGTGCGAGCATGCGTTTTTGCAGTTTTTCGTGCTGTAATAAGACCACTCGAAATTCCGCTAGCTAAAAGCCTCTTATACACACTGGTCCTCGAATTTCAGGAAAAATTTTCCACGCTATACTTGGACAGGGAACATTCCCTTGAAATCCCAGGTTTCCAGCTGTCTCAGTTCCCGAATTACCCAAATTCCAGCCAAAAAATTTCACGGGACCGTACGTGGCAACCACCCATAATGGGGACTGAATTTGATAAATTTAAGTTGTAGATGAGTTGGGAACATTTGCTGAAAGTTTGAGCCTCCCAGCTTCCCTGGTTCCGGAGTTAACCATTTTCCTGCCAAAAATTTTCTCAGGGCCGTACGTGATAATCACGCGTAACGGGGGGAGGGGGGGAGCTGAATTTGATAAATTTAAGTTGTAGATGAACTGGGGACATCCGCTGAAACTTCCAGCCCCCCACTTTCTTGGTTCCTGAGCTAGCGATTTCCGCGGGTTCACGGGAAACGCGCACACCTGGGGCCTGAATTTAAAATCTTTGAGTTCTATATGGAGGGGGAAAATAATCCCAAAATTTCAGCTTTCTAGTTTTTCTGGTTCACATTTAGCGACTTTCCCGCTAAAACTTTGAGGCGCTTGTACGCGCGGCCTAGGTGTGCTTGAGGATTGATACCGCGGTCCCGGGGTGGCACTTGGCCGAGGAACCCCTCGCAGAATTTTGGCGCCGGAGCTTGCTTGGGTGCCGCGTTGAAATACCCGGACAGACAGACAGACACATACATGCACGCACGCACACACACGCACAAACACATGCACACACACACGCATATACACACACACACACACACCGTGGTCGTCACAATATGTGTTTTTGCATGCAGGCAGAAACGCATAAAAGCTGTTCTGGATCGGCAAGGAATCGAACCACTCCTCTTCGCATCCGTAAGCAACGCATTACCATTACACCACTGGTCCTTGTGCTCTAAATTCAGCCTGGCGACATATCTTACTAAGTAACTGCTTTTCAAGCTAAAACACCCTTTTTCCCCGCTCTTTTCCTTTGTGGTGGCTTCTTGGCCGGCTTTTCGCGACATCCAGAGAAAAATGAGAAGCATCTCAGAGCAAGAAAATATGTAGCGTGTGACTGCTTTTTCGCAATAATATTCGGGCAATCGTTGTGATGTGTAGAGAGGATGCGTCGCATTTTTATCAATGGCTTTGGAAGCTACACATGCATTCTTTGAAAGAAAAACAGTCAAGCACAACCTTAATAAATCAATTATTACTCTTGTAAACACAAGACTTTCTTGGACTCTGTCAAATGTGTGATTAGTTTGGTGATGAGCAAGCTTGAAACGGTATGGATGGATTTTTTCCTTGTCAGCCAAAAAATTAGTGGTAAAAATTTGCATTATACTTCGGGACCCGCGATCGCTTGCAATAGCTGAGAATGAGTAAAAAATATGGGAAAATAACAAAAAATAGTTTAGTGGCCTATCAGATTTTACAGTGAAACCGAATTTGTGGAAACCGGTTTTTGTAAGCTATCAATTCTATAACTGAGAGGCAGAGAGAGAGAGAGCATTTATAAAGCATGAAGCACACAACAACTGATTATGGATCACATCTGATCGTCGGCATAGAAGTGGCATATCCAGAATACCTGATAAGGGAGGGCCGGGACGTTCCGATATGATGCCAATTGTATTCTCCACTATTTTTGCTTTTAATTTTCAGAATTTAAGGGCTTTTCACGTACGTATTTTATTTTTTAAAATCGACGATTTTCGGGCTTTTCATGCAAAATTTTTATGCTTTGGCCAATCTGCTTTCTTTCTAACACCATATGGTATCTTCGCTCAGAATTTAAGGGCTTTTCACGTACGTATTTTACTTTTAAAATAGACGATTTTCGGGGGTTTTTCTTTTTTTCAAAGCAAAGCGAAACTGCCACTCTCTTCCATGGATACGCCACTGAAGCACACGGGAATTCAAAGTTAGCAAATTATGCAAAGATCAAAACCAGAAGTGCAACCGATGCAACCCCGGGCCAAGAAGGAAGTTCGATATTAGTTGGATCAACGATTATCCCAGTAAATCACCGAAAGGATCATTTTTTACATGATTTACTTGCGAGTTACGGTTGGGGTATGTGGACATGGCGTTCAATGATTTACCGGTTACTTTCTCCGGAAAGCATACAATATCATCTAAAGCAGATTTTCGATTTGCTTTGTTCGATAACAAACAGTTTAGAGCGGGATCTATTTTCACCGGTGTTGCCGATGCATATCCATTTCGAATCACTGGATTCTGTGAAACTGGTGGACTAGGCAAGTTGATTTTGTTGTAAGACGGATGTAATGCTGTTGGTGTTGCTGCTGCTGCCTGTGTTAAATTGTTCGCTTCAGTTTTGAATGTTTCTGGCCAAATAGAAATGCTACTTGGCTTGCTGGGCTCAGGCGTGCTGTGCATAATTTCCGCCTACAAAAATCCATGTTGGATAGTTGAGATATCGGCAAGTATGTAAGCGACGCAGCATGTGAATTCTTGCTGATTACAGCAGACAATTTTGATGGTTTAATAAAAAGTGCACTTAAAATACCGCAGTAATGGATAAAAAAAATGAAACCTTTCCAGAAGTCGATGCTGTAGGCAGGAATTCCGAAAGATCAATGGGATTTCGCGGTGCTGGAGCAGAAACGGACGGAGGCAACGTACTCGCACCAACACTTCCAAGGATTGAATCAAGAGGCGAAAGACTATCTGGACTTTTTTTCAGATTTTCGCCCACAACGGCTGTTTTACTTGGTTGCAGAATGCTCGGCTGTTTACGCATCCGTAAATTTTGCTCTTGTTCTGCCGCCAAACGTTTTTTATCAGCAAGACTTAACGGTCCCTGAAATATCACGCAATTCAGGAGAATCAGTAGAATAGTGGGGTTGGAAGACATTTTAGGATGCAGTCTGTGTTTCATCCCTTAGCCGTAAACACAGACCGAATTTTGCTCGCAGGTAGGAGAGGGAATCATCAGTACAGCCTCCTACACACCATGTACTGAACAGTCACGCGACTAATTTGCAAGACGGATATGCGAAAGAAAAAGAAAACAAAGAGGGAGCAAAGAAAGTGACAAAAGAGAAAAAGAAGAGGAAGTTAACCCTTGATACTGACAGTCACTTTTTGTCAATTATGAGCTAGCATTTTAGTGAGAATAATATGCTAACCAGGCGTCTGATTAAAAAGTACCTAATTCTGCCTAAATTTCATCAGAAAAACATTCCCTGATTATCACTATCGACCTTTTGATAATTCTTAAATGTAGCTACATGCAAACATTTACCAAGAACCATCAGGTGATGCAGTACCGGTCAA